AGAGAGAGAGAGAGAGAGAGAGAGAGAGAGAGAGGGAGAGAGAAAGAGAGAGAGAAGACACCTACCAGTGTGTACTCCTGCACGGCAGCATTCTTCTCCTCTGTGACCCGCGTCAGGTCCTTCCCCAGCTTGTTCTTAGCCGCCAGCAGATGCTGCACCTCCTTCCGCGTCTTGTCCCGCTGGTCACGCATCTGCACACGAGAGGTCACACGCAAAGGTCAATTCAATGCCAAGGTCATCGCCGAAGGTCGATGGCGGGGGATTCGTCCGGCTACTATGCAGATATTATATCTACCATGCTAACTTTATATTTACTGTGCTGTTCATATATCTATCATGTTGTCTTTATATTTACTGTGTTGTTTTTATATCTATCTTGTTGTCTTTATATTTACTGTGTTGTTTTTATATCTATTATGGTGTCTTTATATTTACTGTGTTGTTTTTATATCTTTTATGGTGTCTTTCTATTTACTGTGTTGTTTTTATAGCTATTATGGTGTCTTTATATTTACTGTGTTGTTTTTATATCTATTATGGTGTCTTTATATTTATTGTGTTGTTTTTATCACCATAATAGATATAAAAACAACACAGTAAATATAAAGACACCATAATAGATTCCTACACATTGATTGTTTTCGCATAATGTTGTTCAATGTTCTTCAATGTTATTACTGCTTAACATTGTTTAGTTAAGTTTTTAAGTTGTTTAGTTAAGTTTATTTAAGTTGTTTTGTTTTGTTTAGTTAACGCTGTTTAATCGCTGCTTACTATAGATTACTTTAATTATTGTTTAATATTATTGAACGGTTTCTCAATAGCAGGCGTTCATTCCCCGAACGACCTGCTACCTGGATTCTTGGTTCAGCTGATCCTTGCACTCACCTGGTTCCCCCGGCACTCACCTGCCCACCTGCTTACCTGGTTCAGCTGTTCCTTGAACTCGTTACGCTCCCCCAGCGCGGCGTTCCACTGCTGGAACGCCGACGTGCACTGCATCTTCAGGCCGTTACGCTCGGTGACGACGTCATCGTGCTTCTTCTTCATGCGCGAGTTGTCCTCCTGCACCATGTGCAACCTGGCAACAGGATGCGGGCCTTAGCGACGGGATGCGAGGATGCTAACGGGGTGTTTACCCTCGCTCGTTAGCGACGGGATGCGAGGATGCTAACGGGGTATTTACCCTCGCTCGTTAGCGACAGGATGCGAGGATGCTAACGGGGTATTTACCCTCGCTCGTTAGCAACCGGATGTGAGGATGCTAACGGTGTATTTACCCTCACTCGTTAGCGACGAGATGCGATGATGCTAACGGGGTATTTACCCTCGCTCGTTAGCGAGGAGAGATGGGTTTCTTAGCAACGGGAGGGAGGAGGAAGTTGGAGGAACTTGGATGTTAGTGTTGCAATAATGTGCAAAAATGTGAAGCATCATAGGAAGGGCGCAAGGTATTCAACCAATTAGCAAGGTATTCACCGCCAACTGTTAACGAGGTATTCAGCCTCACCTGTCAATGAGGTATATGCGTTCACCTGTTAACAAGGCATTCACCCTCACCTGTTAACGAGGCACTCCCACCCTCACCTATTAACGAGCTACACCTGCTCCTGTTAACGAGGCATACACCTCACCTGTTAACGAGCTACACCTGCTCCCGTTAACGAAGCATACACCTCAAGGAGCAGGTGTAGCTCGTTAACAGGTGAGGTGTATGCTTCGTTAACAGGTGAGGTGTATGCTTCGTTAACGGGAGCAGGTGTAGCTCGTTAACGGGGTTAACGAAGCATACACGTCACCTGTTAACGAGCTACACACCCACTCACCTGGAGGCGAGGTAGTCGTGTCGCTCGGACAGCTCTCCGTAGCGCTTCCTCAGCACGTCGTAGTCTCTCTTCACGCTCTCGCACTGCTCCACCGTCGTGTCGTACATCCGGTGCAGCACCTCCGACGACGACGACCCCGACGACCCCGCCGCCGCCGCGTCCTCGCCGCCGCGCAGCTGCCGCCGCAG